AACCCAATAGAAAGCTACAGTAAGAATTATCACTCAATTCAATGCAAGACAACACACACACCCACTCTTCAAAGACCTAAACTGTACAGAACATTCACACCTACTATTGTGTAATCTACATTTACATAACCATAAACTCTAATTTTAACCTGGAACTCAAACAATTTCTTGATAGTTGCAACAGGACCCATAGACACAACACCAGACACAAAAATCTCCATGACATTCCCCTTGTCCGGCTAAACCTATACAAAAATTTGATGTACATAAAAAGGCCTAGAATCAAAACTACTGTTAAAAAAATCTTATCTCCCTAACACACCCCATCATCAGCTAACCAAATGAAAGCCACCCAGTTCTCTCTTTTGTATCATGAACACATCCAAAACAATATAGACTTATTGTTATCTGTAATTCCCCCATAATTTCCACCTACACCCACCCAAAGGACTATAAACATACAATTCTTAATACAGTGGACCTTTGGTTTTTGTTGATCTTAGTTATCGCCGATTTTGGTTTTGGCCGACTTTTTTTTGTAAATTTTGGCTTTAGTTTTCGTCGATTACCTTAGTTTCGTCGATCATATGGAACCTGTGCAGTCCCCAGCGAGCAGACAAAGCTGCCTCCCGCATGCATTCTCAGCCAGTGTAGTGTTGTTTCTCGGTTAGTGAACATATCCTGCCAGGTCATATGAAACATTTCATAATAATCCATTGTTTTTGCCACTTGTTTATCGTGTGTGGAGAAAATTGTGGCCAGATTGTGTCCAAAAGAAGGATTTTGAAAGGTTTGAGGCTGACCCTGTCAACCCTACACCTGTTGAGCAATCATTTGTGGCATTGGGGAATTCCATGAGGTTGGATGTGAATTTGGAGGATGTGGAAGAGTTGGTGGAGGACCACAATGAAGAGCTAACCACTGATGAGCTGCAAGAGCTTCATCTGCAACAGCAACAGACCACAGCTGAGGAAATTGCTTTAGAGGAGATGGAAGAGAGATGGAAGAAGATGGAAGAAGGAGATTTATGCAATGTGGAGGACTAAAGTGCAGTCATTTGTAGAGCAACATTACCCTGAGAAAGCTGTTGTAATCTGTGCTGGTGACTTTTACAATGACAATGCCATGTCCCATTTTAGGCAAATCTTAAAGAAATGCCAGAAACAGACCTATCTGGACAGATATTTTGTGTGACAGGGGTCCAGTGACTCTCAAGCTGGTCCTAGTGACAGTAAAAGACAAAGGAGGGAAGTGATCCCAGATAAGGACTTGGTACCTGGAGTCCTTATGGAGGGGGATTCCCCTTCCAGACAATAATCTATCTTCCCTCTCCCTTCCTCCCTGCTTCCTTCCATCAACAACAGCCTTCAAAAAAGGTAAGTGTCATGTTTAATGTTCATTTTTTTGTGCATGTAAATGTATATTTAAGGTAAAAAATATTTTTTTGTTGATACTTCTGGGTGTCTAGAACGGATTAATTCCATTTACATTATTTCTTATGGGGAAAATGGTTTTGGTTTTGGCCGATGGCTCTGGAACGGATTAAACACGAAACCAAGGGTCCACTGTATAGCTATTGCCTATTAAATCTTAAGTTAATTGTAAGTTTGCTAAGATACTCCTCCGGTATGGCTTTAATAGAAACAATGTATCATGCCAAGAAAAATCAAATCCCATTACTAAATCTGCCATTTGTACTAATATTAAATGATTTGACTACCTAACTATTTTATACCTAATTATGTATGTACCTAACCGAGAATGTATCTAATTAAGTACCTAATAATATGGTCAAATGTACGGCTGAAATATGACCTATATCAAAATAGCGTAAGAATTAGTATTAGTCTGCCTGAAGTGCCTAGACAGGATAGTAGCCATCTTTGTATTTAAAATCTTATAACATGTAAACCACACATTGTGAGCTTTACAAGGAAATAAATATTTGTATTGTATTGTATTGCAAAAAGGATTTGGGAGTTCTAGTTAGCAGTAATATAAAATAAAGACAACAGTGAATAGTGTTCGCAATAAAGCAAACAGAATCCTTGGCTTCATATCAAGGAGCATAAATAACAGGAGTCCTCAGGTTGTTCTTCAACTCTGTATATCCTTTGTTAGGCCTTATTTAGATTATGCTGCACAGTTCTGGTCACCGTATTACAGAATGGATATAAATGCTCTGGAAAACGTACAAAGGAAGATTATATCGATAAAGTTAATCCCATTTATCAAAAATCTTCCCTGTGAGGATAGACTGAGGGTCCTGAATCTAGAAAGGCGTAGAATTAGGGGGTGATGTGTTTGAGGTGTATAAATGGAAAACGGGAATAAATAAATAAAAATATCTAAGCAGGACAGGACTCGCAGCAATGGTTTAAAGTTGGAAAAAATTAAAGATTCAAGAAGGATATAGGAAAGCACTGGTTTGGTAATAGAATTGTGGATGAGTGGAACAAACTCCCGAGTACCATCATAGAAGCTAAGACATTGTGTAGTTTTAAAAATAGGTTAGATAAATACATGAGTGGGTGTGGGTGGATGTGAGTTTGACCTGACTAGCTTGTGCTAATACGTCTCATGCCGTGCCCCTTCCTTAAGTGGATGTGACCTGACCTGACTAGGTGGGTCATTGGTTTAAGCCAGGAGGTGATTTGGACCTGCCTTGCATGGGCCAGTAGGCCTGCTGCAGTGTTCCTTCTTTCTTATGTTCCTAAATTTACCCCATGAAACCTTGGAAAAAGTGTGTTAACCATTTTTAGACGGTTGAGGGCTGTTACAGCACCAGGGGCGCTCCATGTTGTGGCCATCATTTGAGAGATTGCTGACATACTTGATTGATGACCACTATAAGATACAGTGGACCTTCAGTTATCGGCCATTCTGGATATCGGCCAACTTGGTTATTGCCCATTTTTTTGGCCGAAATTTTATTCCGGTTATCGGCCGTGTTGGATGCGTCCACCCGCCAGCTGCTCGAGTGTTCATTAGTCAGTCTGGCTGTGTCTCTGAGCAAGTGAGAAAACTTCTGCTCATTCATCCAAACATTTTGCTATAATCCATTGTTTTTTGTGGTTATTGATTGAGTGCAACTGCGAAATAAGTAACCATGGGCCCAAAGAAAGTTCCTAGTAAGTTCCTTCGGTAAAGAAAGTGAGAAACATGATGGAATTTAAGAAAGTTGTTAAAGTATGAGAGTGAAGGAGGAAGAGATAGGAGAGAATGTGCCTTCTTCAGTGATTTGGCGATTCTATGATATGTACGATACTAAAGCAGCAGGAGTCAATAAAGGCTATAGTGGCAGCCAGCGATAAAGTGTAGCAAGTAAGTTAAGCAATTAAGCGATAGAAAAAGGACGACACGAAACTGACTCCTCCAATGTTTTTGGAGGTAAATAGGGCCACTGACAATATATGCTGCCCTGAGTATCTTCTACCAACCTAAACCAATGCCAGCATCTCCTCCAAGGTAAGTGTAAATATTTCTTATTTATAAAGTGTAAATATTTCTTATTTATAAATTAAAGTGTAAATATTTCTTATTTATAAATTAAAGTGTAAATATTTCTTATTTATAAATTATGTACACTGTGTGAATAGCAGTGTGGCCTCTGCTGCTGCCTCCACTACCACTAATATGTTCGCCTTATGCTCTCAGTGGCCTTTATAAACCCAACAACAACACCACCACCACTCAACATACGTAATGACATACGTTATTCATTTTAGAGTATATACAGTGGACCCCCGGTTAACGATATTTTTTCACTCCAGAAGTGTGTTCAGGTGCCAGTACTGACCGAATTTGTTCCCATAAGGAATATTGTGAAGTAGATTAGTCCATTTCAGACCCCCAAACATACACGTACAAACGCACTTACATAAATACACTTACATAATTGGTCGCATTCGGAGGTGATCATTATGCGGGGGTCCACTGTATCATGTTTCTTTGTTATTAATATTGTTTATAATGTCAGATGAATTGTGATAGATAAATAAGCTGTAGAGTTGATAATAGTGTCATATTTAAGCATTTTGTCCTGTCTCCAAACAATAAACTCTCCTTACTCTCTGCTCCTCGCTGTTTTGCATACACCAACAAGACTCTTCAATAAAGGTAAAAGTGATTTAAATGTTCATTTATCCATTTCATTAGTCATTTTATTTAATTCTCATTGTTTTGTGTATGTAAAACTATAGTTAATCTTTAAAAAATGTATTTTTGGGTGTCTGAAACGGATTAATTAATTGGATTTACATTAATTCTTACGGGAAATATTATTTCAGTTTTCAGCCATTTCAGTTTTAGGCCGACTTTCTGGAATGGATTATGGCTGATAACCAAGGGTCCACTGTATGTAGTTTAGTGTACAGGAGGGTCAGTTTTTATGGCTGTTAGGGTCCCGACTTCTGCTAAGCAGAAATCACCGGTGAGCGGAAAAGAGCAGTTTTCTTAATATTAAATGCATCTAAATGTCTGATAACATGTTTACAATATCATATATTACGTGCTCAGTACAGATAGGCATAAAAAAAGATACAAAAGTAAAATAAGTACAGACTACATACTACAACACACTTACCTTAAAATATGGCACCAGATACCCGTCCTTTATGCAACTATTGCAGGGAAAGGCAGTAAAAGCACCGAATTTAATGAACTACAAAAACATGGAATACCAAATGAGGTAGTGTATAAGTGGGGCCCTCCTGTACTTGTGTAGAATTATATTGAGGCTGATCTCTCAACTTTATGATTGCCACTTTTTTTTTTAATAAGTGAATTAACCATAATAAAAGAATTCTGGATATCCTCCCATTCCTTGGATCAAACCTAATTATAATACTTCCCATTTTGTAGGTGTATGACCCTAACAGATTTAGCACTTACAAATCTTTGTCAATATTTATTATGAACATTTACACTAAGGGGCTTGATACCTCTGGTCTTCTTTACTTTCTTTATTAGTGTATTAATGGAGATTATTTTTATTACAGGATGAGAGTAGTGTGCAACAATTAATTGATGCCTGCATTCAGGATGATGATAAACTGTACCTGTGTGTTTCATCGCCGACTATTAAAGATAAACCGGTTCAGATCCGACCCTGGCGACTCTCCGATGCTGATTTTGTCCTTGACGCCTCGCTTCCCTTAGACCCTCGCAAGACAGTGTTCGTTGGAGGTGTACCCAGGCCTCTTAAAGCTGGTACGTTATATAATACAGTACAATAATATTTTTTTCTCTGCAGTATACAAAATGTAGTTTATCTAGGCCTCTTTAAGCTGTTATACAATAATATTTCTTCTCTGCCGTATACAAAATATAGTTTACTTAGGCCTTTTAAAGCTGGTATGTTAAACTACAATATTATTTCTTTTCTGCAGTATACAAAATGTAGTTTTTTTTTTTATTAACACATCGGCCGTCTCCCACCAAGGCAGACAGACATGTAATAAAATATTGTTATGAGCAAAAGAATGCCACTAGCATGCATTGCATTTTGGGTACTAATACTAATGCTGACAGACTAGTTAAGAACTAGACATAGGTTGAAAATTAGACACATGTGCAACATCTGGGTATCTTTATTGTAGATGTTTTGCCATCCAGTGGTTTTATCAGTACAAATTCTAGGACATAACTTGAAGACAGTAGAACTATATACAAAAGATGGAGTTGGTGTGAAGAGCACTATAGTTGTAGAGATTCTGGAGCTAAGGAGTCTGGCGCTTATATAGGCATCAGTGGATAGGGACGGGTAGCAGACGAAGACATAGTCACTGGAAGTAGGTCATACCCAAGGGATGGGTTAGTGGTAGTAGTAGTTGCAGTAGCCCTGAAGAAGGTTATGTAGATGTCCTCCGAACCAAGACTCCATGATGTTGCAGTGTCTGACAAGTTGTACATGAACGGTATACAATACCGACAAGATGAAAATTAGACACATGTGCAACATCTGGGTATCTTTATCTCCACAGACTCCTCAGTGCTCCAAATACTGATGAAGACAACACTTAGTGCTCCATATACTGAGCACTGAGGAGTCTGTGGAGGCAAAGAACGTTATCCATGAGGTAACCATGACAGAACTACTATATACAAAACATGAAGTAATCAGTCCCTGAGAGACTGATTACTTCATCTTTTGTATATAGTTCTGTCTTCAAGTTATGTCCTAGAATCTGTATTGATAAAGCCACTGGATGGTGAAATGTCTACAATAAAGATACCCAGATGTTGCATGTGCCTAATTTTCATTTTGTCGGTATTGTATACCATTCATGTAGACATAGGTTATTGAGTAGGAGTTTTTTTAAATGTACAAAAAGTGAGATAAGTAAGTGAACAATAGTATATTTTTAGTTATGCAGTAATACAAAAAAAAAGTTTTTTTTATTGTACTTCAGGTTGCTGAATGAGACACATGTGCAATATTTGGGTATCTTTATTGTTAAAATATTTCATCTGCACAGTAGGCATCTTCAGTCAGATACAAGCAGTTGCAACACTGGAGACAGTAGAGGTAGTTTGATATGATCAATCTATCACCTTTGGTCAGTCACTCAAGACTAAGGGTGATGGACTGATCATGTCAAAGCTGCTACTAAATGTTGTATTCATCAGTATTTGACTGAGGAAGTCTGTTGTACACATGAAGCATTTTGTCAATAAAGATACCCAAGTGTTGCACATGTATCTTATTCATCAAGTTGTCAGTATTATATAAGATCATTAATAATGAAAGATTGAATATCAGATTGGAGGGAGGAAGTGAATGTATTCGGATATTTGGGAGTGGACTTATCAGCAGATGGGTCTATGAAAGACAAGGTGAATCATAGAACTGATGAGAGGAAAAAGGTGAGTGGAGCACTGAGGAGTCTGTGGAGACAAAGAACATTATCCATGACAGCAAAGAGGGTGATATATGAGAGTATAGTGGTATGGGTATGAAGCATGGGTAGTGAATGTTGCAACAAGGAGAAGGCTGGAGGCAGTGGAGATGTCATGTCTGAGAGCAATGTGTGGTGTGAATATAATGCAGTGAATCCGTAGCTTGGAGATTGGAAGAAGGTGCGGGGTTTCTGAAAGTATTATCCAAAGGGCTGAAGAGGGGTTGTTAAGGTGGTTTGGACATTTAGAGAGGATGGAATGAAATAGAATGACTTGGAGGGCATATAAATCTGTAGTGGAAGGAAGGTGGGGTAGGGATCATCCTAGGAAAGGTTGGAGGGAGGAGGTAAAGGAGGTTTTGTGTGTGAGGGGCTTGGACTTCAAGCACCCTACCTTGGTGGGAAACAACTAATGTGTTAATAAAAAAATTAAAATGTACTCTGTGTGTCGATGAATAACCAATAAAAGTGTAATAAACACTTGAAAATGCTCAATAATAGCCCACATCTTTGTACAGTAGGGTCCCACTTATACAGCAGGTTAGGTTCCAGGCTACCGCCGGAAAGTGGACATCGCTGGAAAGCAGAATGCCATTTTTTCCACTTATAAATACATATAAATGCCAGATAACAGTTGGCCATCACTAATTTGGCAATCAGTAATCCGGTTCCATCAGTACTCCAGCACTAATCTCGGCTAGCATAACTTCAAATTTCCAGGGTCGCCACACCAACCTGCCGCTACTGTTTGGTGGCACTACTTGCTGCATAAGTCATTCCAATGTCTTTATCTCCATTTATTGTTATAACCTGCTCACTTTTAGCCCTAGCCATGGTTCCAATGAATAAAAGAAGTGCTTCTCATTGAGTAATGCACATGCACTGTAGATTGTCCATAAAAGATAAGGTGGCTTTGAAGTCACTGTTGGTTGCCATGATCTCAGTTCACTCATAAGCTGTGACTGGTAAATTTGGGCCTTCATATGAGAGAATAGGTTTGTGTGGTAAGTGTGCACTGTATAAAAAAATCCCGCAGTGTGTAATGAGAAAAAAGGCGACTGTGCTTTTGGTGTAAAACAACGATTTTGTGGTGTATTTTCGTATGGTTTGTATTTTTTTTTTTTTTGGTCTCATTTGATAAAATGGGAGATATAATACAGAAATAGATATAATTTTAATTGGTTTCATGCCAAAAAGTCCCTTAAAATTGAGCTCCAAATAGGGGAAATGTTCAATTTTTACCAATGTTCAAGAGTAAATAAATAACATCACCGTCCAATATGTGTCCAACTGGCTGGTCTAATACGCAGTCATGAATGGGTTGACATGATTTATACAGTTATTACAATAATGCAGTAGTCTGCATAACTATAAATCATCTTTTTTTGTGTGAATAAATATTCAAAATGGAAAGCAAGCATAATATAAGAGAGAGAATGTTATTTTAATGCTAGGAATATGTGCATTGTTTATTCTGGACCCTGTTTTGAAATTGCCATCTTTTGAAATTTGTGTGAAATTGGCCAAATTACCGATTTCTGACCACTTTATTGGGTGGTTGAAATAGGTGAATGGGCAGTTTGTTGTACTCAATTGACAGAATAGCAGGAATACTAGTGAAATAGCTATGAGTTTGGTAGACTGGAACAATGGAATGGGGCAAAAATAAGGTGTAAAGTGGGTGAAATCACCAATGTAATCCAGCAAAATCACTAATCTGGCACCTTACAGGTCCTGATGATGCCAGATTAGTGATGGTCAACCTGTATTAAGTTAGCAATAGAACTAGGCATTAAAAAACAATAAACAGTAAAATACACACAGTACACTCATTATTTTAAAATATTTGTAGTCTTAATGGTCTTAATGTAGGGTGAGAGATGAGTAGTATTTACTGTAAGAAGTCAAGTGTGGCAAGTATGGTAGCCCTCCATGTAATATATATCGACATTTAAAGCTCATTAGAGCAATAAAATGCATTTACAGTACACTCATTACTTATCTTAAAATATTTGTAGTCTTAATGTAGTTTACCTGGAGTTTACCTGGAGAGAGTTTCCATTGTGTACAAATTGTCTCCACATTCATAAAGTAGAATAATATTTATTTGTAGAAAGTCAGGTGTGGGAGGTATGGTAGCCCTCCTGGCCAACCCACCCACACACAATATATATCAACATTTAAAGCTCCCTACCTGGAGACCTGGAGTTTACCTGCAGAGAGTTTCGGGGGTCAACGCCCCCGCGGCCCGGTCTGTGACTAGGCCTCCTTAGGTCAGTGTCCCAGGATGCGACCCACACCAGTCGACTAACACCCAGGTACCCATTTTACTGATGGGGAACATAGACAACAGGTGGAAAGAAACACGTCCAATGTTTCTACTCTGGCTGGGAATCGAACCCAGGCCCTCACCGTGTGAAGCGAGAGCATTAACCACCAGGCCACCAGAGCCCTAGAGCAATAAAATGCATATACAGTACACTCATTATTTACCTTAACCCTTAAACTGTCCAAACATAGATCTATGTTCACGTGTGTAGCACTCCGACCTTGATTTTCCCCATTTGAAAGCATGTAAAAAAAACGTAGATCTACGTCTGGAGCCTGCTGCACGTCTGCGTATATCTACATGTGGACAATTTAAGGGTTAAAACATTTGTAGTCTTAATGTAGGGTGAGAGGTGAATAAACGATATAAAAATGAATAAACAAGAGAGAGAGAATGAGTAAATGAAAGAAGACAGAGCCACGAAGTGTTAAACAAACAGAAGAACGCATCTGGTTTTGGTTGATACGTGTTCATTCCCATGTCTGTGAATCGTTTACCATAATACAAACACATTCCATTGTGTACAAATTGTCTCCACATTCATAAAGTAGAATAAATAAAGAGCAACACTCCCGTTCTCATGTAACACACCATTTTTAGAAGGAATAACACTCTGAGTGAAGGCATACGAAAGCAATAATTTTCTTTACTTACCCCAGCAATACTGTTGTGTACACATTTTCTTTGGTATTGAACTATAGAAAATGTTATTCTTTCTTACACTCCGACAAGACAACTGGAAAAACACCTCATATTTATGTTAATTTATTCTACTGTGGGTGCATTTATCATGTTTATGTTATGTAGCATGTTTATTATATAATTTTGAAAAAATATCATAGATGCATTAATCAAAATGCCTATATTAATGCGCCTCCAAGTGATTATTATTATGTTATTACAGGTCCGCCATCACAAATCCGGCATCATTGGGACCTGTAGTGTGCCGGATTACAGAGTGGTTAGGTTAAAATACACTTAAT